GCAAAACGGGAATTCATTTTAGTCCTCTCTAGCTTGAAGTGAGTGTTGCAGGTCATTGGAGGGCTGAGAACATGAAAGTGTGACCTGCTAACTTCTATTAAAAAATCTGGTTTTCTCTGTAGCTGTTGCAGATGTCTTAAACATGGCTGCCCAGTCATTCAGTTAACACACAACAGCACATAGAGGTTCAAGATGTCTTTATTCAAAGGGTAGTTCTAAATGTGTGTGATGTTCTTCATACATTTGCAGCCATTTCTTTTTGTATTGATGTTTATGGGAACAGTGTGACCTGCAGACTATGGACTTTGTGACGTCTGCTATTAAAAGGCGCAATATAAATAAAGTCATCATTACACTAAATTTTCCACAGCGATAGCATCAGATGTTTATTAACCTGTGGGTGAAAATAGTCCCGAACAAATAAACTTTTACTCCTATTTTCATAACATCTGCTAAAAACTACAAATCCCTGCTGTTTTAAGGAAATCGCTTTGCCTTTTAGCATTTATAAATCTTATGTAGTTTATGCACACAAGGAATCTTGTGTCAGAATGGGTGAAATTTGTCATGTATTTCTGTTTTTCCTTTAGTCTTATATTTTATTGTATTGTTTTCCACGTACTGCACTCCCTTAATACTAATTGCTAGCTACACAAGCACACTCAGACTCCTTCTGCTCTTGTGTGCATAAGCATGTCTGTGTGTGTGTCTGTGTGTGTGGGGGGGACTCATGGAAGGGTGAAATGGTGTAAAATCATGTGTCTGGCCCATTGGCACGTTGTCATGTATGTCAACACAATGTGGCTGAAGACCAGAGCCAGCATAGAGGCCTTATTACAGACAAGCTCCTTCTCCCCTCTTCTCTTCTCCTCTCCTCTCCTCAGGTTCTATCCACTGCTCTGTCTCTCTCTCTCTCTTCTCTCTCTCTCTCTGTTTTTCTCTCTGTCCCCCGCTCCAAACAAGTCAAATGTCTGAAGAGATGTATCGAAGTATCCCTGCGCACTCTGTACGATGGATATGTCATATGACATAATGCCTCCAAGCGCCCATCACAGATAAAATGACAGATGCTGTTTTTTGCCTCATGGATCTTTCTTGGCCAAGCTGATTTTGAGACTTTCAGTTTTGCTCTCCCACTCTCTCTCTCTC